AGCGCTGCTGATCGATTGCAACATCAACAAACAGTTTGCATTTTGGTGTAATGGAAACAGCTCCATGATGTCATTGAAAAAGACAAAGTCATTAATCCTCTCACACCTCAACAGAACCTTCCCCTTGATTAGTGTCCCTCTGTCTCTGTGACATTGGAGCTGGCTTGGAGCTCGCCTGCCTGGCTATGTCCTTCTTGAATGGGGCCGCCTGTGGAGCTGGTAAATGGTTAGCTTTTGTATCTCTGCTTCTTTCTGTATGTCTGCTTCTGTCTCCTTGAACCCCAGTCGGCCTCACCAGATGGCCGCTTACACTGACGCTAGTTCTGCTGGAGGTTTTCTTCCTGTTAAAGGTGATTTTTTTTTACCCCATCTGTTTTCAGAACATCTCAAGACCAACACTTTGTGGATATATGTCATAATGGTTCACACCAAATGGGACTCCAGCGACCGAATGGAGAGATACATGTTATCGCTATGTGGAGGGGTGTTCAAGAGTGCAATAATGTCATGGGATGTAACATACACACTTTTAGTTGCAGCAAAGTGACAGTGACACCTACGTCCATGAGCAACAACTGATTTAAAATAATCTAAAAATTTTTGTCAAGTCACATAGCAACAGCCAGTCAGTGACTAGATGTTGCTGTGATGTAGGGTAGAGGAGCACAGCTAAGACAAAGCTTCTTTTCAATAAAATGTAAAAAATTATGTTGGCATACGAAGAAATAACAGATTCTGGTGTCCTCCACCTTAGAAGTGTTTCTCTTTTCAGACCTGAGTTACAGTAAGTACTTTGGTCATTAGTGCGCCTTTGGCCCCTGGTCCCCTGGTTTATGGTTTTACCTGGTTCCACTATAAGTCTTTCCATGCAAAACCTGCATATCTTTCCGGCACCCTTGCAGAGGTAAAGGCAATTGTCAACACATACATTTTGTATCAGGAGATTTCACATCCATCATACTGCCAACTGGGGCTGCTATGTTCTGAGAGATAAAATAGGACCAACAGATGCATAAAATAAAGCCTATGGTCATGACCTTGATGAAGAAGAGTATCCTGTGTATTAAGAGTAATAGTTTTGAAAAGGAATGTGCAATGAGTGTTTTTATTGTTCAAAAAATGCTTGTAAAATGCCTTGTCAAAGAACAGAAAGTAGGGCCTGAAAACCCTAAATTATGTTTTTTTGCCTTTATTTATATAGGCTATATATCTTGATTTGATTGAAAATCTCACCTGTAGTTTTGCCAGTGTATATAATAAACATCAGTGTCTAACACTTTCCCTTAATCTGTGTTCCTTAAATATCATCTCCACCCTAATCCCACCAAGAAATTACATTTTCAATGGTTTGAAGAGCATAAAAATAGAATAATCATAAAAGCTCTTTTTTTTTAAGGATCATTATATAAGCTGCTTAAATGATGTATCTGTTTGCGTTAAACATTGCAGTGCATTCCTTCTATTATCAGTATCTCAATCCTTGCAGGGTTAAATTTGGGCTGATGCCTATCCACCTCACGGACAGGTCTCAAGTTCATTTAATGCAACACAGAAACTCAAACCATCTAAGCTTTCACCAATTACAGTGACCAGCCGAACTGCCCAATTTAGAGTGGCCAATTAATATAACACACCTATTTTGAACTGTGAGAGAAAACCGGATGACATGCAAGTATAAAGGTGCATAAGTGGTATTCGTTTTTTAAATCCTGCACCGTTTCAAATTTCTGACTGATTTATTTCCAGATATGATGTGCAATATTTTCTACGAATTCCCTTCCCTGCTCCATCCTTAATAATAAAACTAAATCAATTTCTCTGTACAAAACTCCTCTATACATAATACTGTCATGCTGGTCACGAAAAAGCCTTTTTTTTATTCATTCAATATTTTTTTTGAGTCTTTTATTTAGAACATATACTTATTTTAGTGGTGCAACAAGCTCTTATCTGTCTTTGAAGAATTTCATCATTTTAATACCAGTATGTACAAGATGCTTCCTTTCTGATCAAAGCCATTCACCGACTCAAGAAACAGGATAACATTTTACCGAGACCAAACAAAAAAAGGACAGCTTTTAGAGATGAGCAAATTTTTAAGACATGCATTATTGACGTTTGGTAAATATCAAACATGAAGGTAGGCTCTGAATTACATTTTCAGTCCATTTGAGCGAAAAATAGAACTGATACAAAGAAGCACATATATTAGATATTGCAGAATATCTTCGTAATTATTACTGCTTTTCCTTTTGCATCTTATACAACCTTATACCAAACAATATTTACTTATCTCAATACAACTGCTTTTTCTCATTTTCTTTCATTTAGTGATATGAAGAGCTTATAGTGATGTTAAAACATATTTTCACAAGGTTCTTTTTACTAAAGAAAATACATATGGTCAATACAGTTGATGGAAATGGTGATATAACTTGGTGAATTTATGAAAGTAATAATAAGTGTTTTCTATAAATGGTCAACCTTGAAAATGAACCAGCTTGTATTGATCTCAAACAACCCAAGGTTTGAAGCATTTAGGCTTTTTTTAAAAAAGCCTTGTAGTGAATGTTCTAGTGCCATCCTGATTATCATATTTCTTTAATGATAGATATATTGTAAAGGCCAACTAAGCTTCCCTAATGCCCTAAATTTACAAGCTAATCCATAACTGCCTCTTGTTTTGTGGAATTTTCTTATTCATTTGAGCAGCCTTTTTGTCATCCCTCACCCTAACATCACTTAGAGCAACATTTTTAAACTGATCTCCTAGTCACACGTCCTAGCCAGCCCCCAGGAAATGAATTAATGAATGAATAAATTAATTAGTTAATTAATTAGTTAGACATTTCTAAACTCAACATTCTATGCTAACTTTATTGTTCTGTCTGGATCCCATTTAATAGCTGCAGAGATTACAATGGGGGTAATAAATGATTTTATCAAAGAAATGACAGTCTAGGCACTCACATGCTTTACTCTCTCATAGCAAAAATGATTAAAGATTGCAGGGCTGATTTGAATTTACATCATGTGGAAATAAGTGTGTTAATGCTGAAGAGCTGAGGAAAATAAACCTCTCCTGAAAAGACATAAAAAAGTAAAGTGGTAGCTGATATTAAGCTTGATGATTGAGCCAGAGTTCTTCAAAAGATAAAATGAGGGTGTTAAAAAGATTTTTTTCATTGTATTCATTAAAAAAACATTTTCAGTAACCAGGCCACGGGCTTTTATGCTTTTCATAGCAAGCACTGATTCTAAACAAGTAGTTGTTTCAGCTTTGTTAACAGCCTTTTACCAGCAGCAACATTCATCGCAGAAGCAAAACTTCATGAAGACAGTAGACCTATTCCTTTGGCCTTATTCTGTTTTCTTATTTTTTATTCTGTTTTCTTCTTTTTTATTGTTCTTGTTGTGTTATTGTACAAAATACAGCTCTTCAATTAGCTTGTGAATCCTATTCTTTTCTCCTTTTTTAACTGTCACATTTGAAGTTAATCATTAAAAACCTTTAAACCAGGCATGCACACAAACAATCCATGTAGTTACACAGGTCATTAAAAGATTATTTTTGGATGACAACTCATTCATTGTTAAAAAATAAATAAATAAATAACTAGTAACTGGATTGTACTCATGTAGCACCTTTTCAAGTAAGGGACTCCAGAGCACTGCATTCAGCACAACTGTACTTTTTCAACCACTGATGGTGGAAAGCCACATTGTAGCCACAGTTGCCCTGGGGCACACTGACAAAAGTGGAGCTGCCATACACAAGTGCCACCATCACTAGGCAGCACAGTTGAAGTGTTGTGCCCAAAAGTAAAACAACTGAGATAGACAGAGCTGGGGTCTTTAACCAGCAAGAAAGCCAGTTGCAAGACAATCAATTAATCAAAGTCCATTATTATAATTAGGTGTCTCAATGATTAAAAAAAAAAAAGATAAACTGAAACTGAATTATCCTAAACGTCCCTATAAATAACAAATGTAATCATTTTTGGCTTTTCAGGAATAGGTAAATAGAACAAGAAAACATTACAGCTTGCACCACAGCTTACACTACTCATCATGCTATACCATTCCTCAGTTTTAAATGACTAAGAATATAAAAATGTGTTGGAGGGAAAAAAAAGTAGATAACTAAATCCAATAGATTTAAAAATCACATCTTCATGAGTAAATAAAAAAAAAAGTTTATTTATTATAAATAACGCTGCATGAAACCATCTTGCAAAAACGTAATTTTTTTATTAAATTCTCTTTCGATTTTCTTTGTAAATTCCAATTACTCTCATTGATTTATGACCACAAGAAAAATGGTTAACTGTAGAGCCACACAATATTTATTTTGAAACAATACTCACTGATTATTTTTTTATTTTTGTTTGTTTGTCACTTTAGCAAGAAAATTTTAGTACCACAACATACGGTACACAAACACATGTATATATCTTTTATTTGCATGTCCTGTTAAAGTGGCTATAAAATAATGCAATTGTAGTTTTTTTTCTATATTTTTTTTCGATATGCACTATCATGATGTTATATTGCTTTAATGCTAAAACGTTATTCAGAGCGGCACAGGAACTACGTTGATTGAAAAATATCAGGTGATTTCCTGGAACATCTTTGGTTCGCAGTGAGTGCGCCACCATGCAGCCCACAGCTGTTGGATAAAATGATGCGCACTGAGAGGCTCTCCAAAAGGCTGCTCCGTCACTCTCAGGGCATGATGTGGGCAGAGTTATCGAGTAACGGCGTGGATTTTTATTTTAAAACCGATGCTTAGTAAATTATTTTTTTACCGAGTGCAGAATATGTATGTTATGTTTATGTGAAATTTGTTTTTGTTGGGTTAAGCTTTATTTTATAAACCGAAGAAATGATCAGCATACCTGGTGATGCGCTTTTGCCAACTTCATGGACTAACTGAACCCGCTTTCGTGTGGCAATTTTTGTTTTAAATGGACTGAATTTTCTTGTCTTTTGCTGTTAAGGTTTTTATAATCGGTTCGATATGTCCGACTTCCATAACCGAAGCCAGGTCAGCGCACGACGCAGCGACTATATCTGGCAGTATGAGTATTACGACGACGAGGAACCCGTGTCTTTTGATGGGCTTAAAGCGCACAGATGTAAGCCGAAATTAATCATTATGATTTATTTCGTTTTGTCTTTACTTTTCCTCCTCACGCATTAAGCCAGTGTGTGCTTTGTGTGCACTTTTATTTAATTATGATTCATTAGGGCTTTATTGGGGTCCATTATCGTCATTGCTTTTTCCGAAGGCTGACCTGCTCTGCCCCCTGCAGTAGCATTATTTACAAGACAGATTTAATGCAGCACTTTACTTCTGCTTCTCAGTTAATAATCAGACATCTTAATGAGACATTGTGGTAATAAACAAGTCAACCATTTTTGTCTGATCAAGTTATGGAGAAGAAAAATGAAATGCTCACTTTGATTTATTGCTTTTTTAATGTATTTATTTATTTTGCCTCTAGGGCATATCCTCCTGGGATAACTCCATTCAATAAACAGGAGAAGCAGACAGAATTAATGAGCTGCCAAAATCACTAATATCTCTTATCTTTCAGACTCCATCGTCATTGGCTTCTGGGTGGGATTGGCAGTTTTCGTCATTTTCATGTTCTTCGTTCTCACACTGCTCACAAAGACTGGAGGACCACATCAGGAGTAAGTGTTAAACAGTGTAATTCAGTTTTCCTCTGGTGCTTTTAATCATACAGGGATTCAGTCAGCAGTGAGGTGACAAATCATTCAGAGGTAATTCTTAATCTCTGACCTGTGTGATTCTTTTATTGGATTTATGAGAACTAATATGTCTTGAAATAAGTTGATTTTGGTTTCTGTAGAAGCACTTATCATATTTTCTTGCTGTCAAATTGGTAATGTTTTTGTTTTCATAATGATCAGGTATGTATATTTTCTTTTATTTTATTAAAGTCCTCATATCTTTATTTTAAGTGTTCTGGCATCTCAAAATAACCTGCTAAAATGCTATGTAATAAATGCCCTGTTCCTTCAAATCAGTAGTTAAAGGCTATGTTCACACTGCAGGCCTTGATACTCAATTCCGATTTTTTTGTGAAATCCGATTTTCTTGCCGTTCATATTTGCAAATATATGCGACTTGTATGTGATCTACTGTGTGAACTGCAGTCATACGACGCAAGTGCAATGATGTCACAGACCAGTGTGCACTACTTTTACGGAAGTAAACATGGATGGTAGTGCACATCTAGCGGTCTTTTCCAACCATAAAAACTCAATCTTTTCAATATGTTCAAACATAAATACTGCTCTCCGCATCATCATCTGCCATCTCTTTGTCTTTGTTTTTCTTGCTGCTTCTGCGTAGAAAGACCCAGAATAGTGACTTTTGTCGGGTATTAATGACGTTCAGGTCCGATAAATGCGACCTGGCCATTTAGACACAGGTCGCATTTGAAAAGATCAGATTTGTATCGGATTCAGGACCACACAGCCAAGTGGAGTGTCGGATAAGAAAAAATCGTATCTGGTCATATATGGGCAAAAAAATAGGGTTTGGGTCACTTCAGGCTGCTGTATGAACATAGCCAAATTCTGTACAAGTTGTGGAAATATTAAGTGTTAAACCAAAGGAAAGCTTGCCTAATTAGCCCCTAAAAATATTAGCCTACAGAATTTGAAAACAATGGAGAGAACACATATTTGATAAACTTTCGATTTTGCAGGTTTTTCCACTGGCAAAGAATTTAGAAGTCTTGTAATTTGTATCACAGGTACTCTTCACATGTGAGGTATCTAAAACAAAAAAATCTAGAGAATCAAATTGTTAAATTTCAATTTTATTGCATGACATAAGTATTTGATACATCAGAAAAAAATGAAAATTTATATTTGGTACTAAAGCCTTTGTTTGCAATTACAGATATCAGATGCTTCTTGTAGTTCTTTTTTGTGTGCCCTGTTTTACCAATATATATATATATATATATATTAGATGATAGCCCAACAGATTTGCTTTCACAAGAAGGCCGTTATTAGCCTGACGTAGTCCTACTCAATTCTAGTCAGAATATGAGTCTGATATTGCTCCAGATACTGCTCCAGATACTGCTCTAGAGCTGTGATTATGGGGCGTGTTTCGAACAAACCAGGGAAAAAAATGCCTCTGCACTCAATTGGATACACCTACAACCAATAAGAGCAACGGAGTGCGTGACGTATGTTAAGCGACGCATAGTTGTTGTCAACAAAAATCAAAGCGTGCAGTTGCACGCCTAGAATAAGAAGATAAGCCTTGATCACGTTTCTCTGTTCCTCTTTTAAAATTAATTTGCTGTCGATATCTTCTAGAACAAACCTAATAGCAGAATCTACACACCTTAACTCTCCAGCGGCAGCCATTGCTGTTGTTACCCAAGCGCGCTTTGGTGACGTGGTTGATTACGTTACTGTTGATCATCTGTCCATCATCGTTTAAAGCCCGCCCTGACAATTTGATTGGCCCGCCAGATATTGTGCGAGCATAGTCGCGCTACTATTGAGCAATGCCAGACCGAACTTCCCGACCTCAAACGTTGTGGGCGGGACTAAGTTCGGAATGGCACCCAGGCTAGGCCGTTATGACTATTGCCATAAGGTTCAGCTTGGTTTTTGTATATGAAATTTTATTAAAAAAGTATTTAGTGAGTAAAATTATATACAAGAGACGGAGATGGAAAGATAGGTGAGTACGAAAGAGGGGATAAGAACTATGGGGAGAGAAAAAGAGAGGGACAGAAAAGCATGCATAAAAAAAATAAATAAGCAAAAATAGTTCTTAAAGGAAAAGTCCGGTCAGCAAGAATTAATGAATTAATCATTATCTATACCTAAAACAAATACATTCGGGATTCAATGAATTTAGCGTTAATCAGTAAAAAAATGAAAATAAAAGTTTTCGTTGCGATCACTGAGTCTGGGAGCGACCTTTTATGCCCAAATAGAGTAACACCTCACTCCTGACATCTTCCGGCAGTGACGTCACGGTGCGCTGGGCCAATCTCCATTCTCCCCACGTCACCAGCAAAATCAATGGGAACTATTATACACGCCTGTAATCAGCAACAATTATTTTAGATTTCGAGAGGACTTCACTATTGAAATTCACAAGAGCTATAGTTAAACTGACAAGGCCCATATGCATGGCAGTTGGATGTTGCAATACATCGTGTAAAAGAAAAAAAATTGGTTATTTCACCTTTCCACCTCGAGTTTGTTGTTGGATTGCCGACTTGAAGAGGGAGGATTTGCCATCAAACTTCTGGCCAGAGAAAAAACATGAAATATGTAGCCAACTTTTCTAAGAAGAATGTTTTCAGGATGACTTGAGTAATAGTGCGTAGTGACAAACACCAGATACAGCATTGGGACTTGCTTAACAGCTCATACTGCACCATGATTTCAAAAACCAGTTGGTGGCAGAAGTTAAAATTAATAATTGCTCTTAATTAAAACAAAAAACACTTAGCATTTATTGAGCAGTATGTAATATTTTTATGTTTAAAGTACTTTCAGAAGTTTGAATTCTGAATTTGACCAGACCTTTCCTTTACAAATGTTGCTCCAGGGATATTGGCCCACTCCTCTATACAGATACTTCTCCAGAGCACTGCAAACCTTAGGGTTTCGTCCTACAGTGTGAGTTTATGATATATGTGCAGCACGATGCTCTGATGCGATCTACCTGCTCACATTGTATGTCTAAAAACCACGTCGGACTCAGCTCTGCAGTTTGATGGAACTACTCTGACTCGTCTATCCAGAAGCAAAGTGAGTAGAAGAGGAATATGAAGCTCACTAGAGTGAACCGTGCTGCCTTGGCAATTTACGCAATTTTGTGCTGAAAGCCCTAAAAAGAAAAGGCCACGACATATTTGGACAAAGACATGGCTGAGCAAACGTGGCTACTATGGTCTGTCAATTTTACACAAATATCTCCATTTCACTCGCACCCCTGCAATGCTTCTGTGTTTACATTTGAGAAGAAGAAGAAGAAAATGAAGAATCCTTGTTTGAGCATGCCCACTGAGCGATTTGCCCATGACGGTAAAACATTTTTGATTTTCTCCCGCCCTCACGACAACGAAGTGGTCATGAGAGGCTGATCACCCCTCGTTATCCCCTGTACAATACACAACGCACAATCAGGCTGAAAGTCGGCCTGATCGGAAAATTCTCACATGACTGGAAAGTTGCCCAAAAATGGGCAAAAAATCGCACAGTGTAAGCCCGGCTTTATAGAGGTACTACTTAGTTGTCCTGGCTGTGTGCTGGAAGGCCCAGCCCTGACACATATTTAAATCCCTTTGTGATTTAAGTAATTTTCTTACTAAAATCTCCTTATACATGGCCCCATCTGTCCTCGCCTCAATGTAGTGCATTTGTCCCAGTCCCTTTACAGAAAAAAGATCCCCAATGAATGCTATCCCCCTAAATGCTTCATGGTTGGGATGGTATTGTTGTGGTTGTACTTATCCTTCCTCCTCTAAACATGAGGAGTGGAGTTCATTTTTTTCTCTCATCAGAGCACATGGCTATCTTCCAGTACTTCACTGAATCATCCAGGTGGTCATCAACAAATTACATATGGGCCTGGACATATGCTGACTTCAGCAAGGAGACCTTGCATTGGCTGCAGGATTTCAATCCACAGTGGCATAGTCTTATTAATGGCCTTAGTGTTATTAATGAGCCTGCGGTCCCAGCTCTTTTCAGGTTATTGACCTGGTGCTGGTGTGTAGTTTTCTTGGCATTACTGCCAAATAACATTAAAACATGTACAGCATTTGGGGAAACATTTTGGGAAGCGCAAAATGCAACACATTGATGCAGTCCGGCTACATTTACACTAGGGGGCAGCAGTCTGTCTTACAACCAGAGGTCAACTATGTAGAGCAGATCTGCTGCTCTCATTGTGCCCCAGGGCACCTGTGGCTACAATGTAGCTTACCACCATTAGTTTTTGAATGTGGGTGAATTGATGAATGACAATTGGTATACCCACACCAACTCTAATAGATATTCAAAAGAGAAAAAGCTTGCTGCTTAAATCTGTGGAGCGGACACACACTAAACCCTGCATTCAGGCTGGCCCAATGCAATGCCTCAAGAGGAAATACGTTTTCTGGGGTTAATGATCTTACCAGGAGTTCTAGGACAAAACTCACTATCTGTACACGCAAATATAAATTTTTTATTCTCCGAAAAGTCTCTCTGTTTTCACGTGTTTCTATTATGCCTTTTGGTTTTTGCTAGTCAAGTTACCATAAGTTAATGCTTTCATTTTATTCTGAAATTCTCCAGGATGTTTTTTTTTTTTTCTTTCTGGTGCCCGACTCTTCCTGTTTGGCTTGTAAGATTCAGGAACTTGTTGGGTAGTCCACTGTGTGGCTAAACTTCCCTCTTGTGGATCATTTCATTGATCAGCAGGGCTTTAGTAACTTCAACTGCCCTCCACCATGGGTAAAACTTGTATAAGCATTAATTTTAACAATCTGGAGTCCTTGCAGTGCCCCCACCGCCGCTGGACCTCATTTAGTGTAAGCCCTGTCTAAAGCTTCTATGAAGTTTGCAGGTTAACAAGGGTTTTTCAAACACGGTTGAGAGGCTAACAATCACCATTTGGATCCCTTCCCATTGCCTAAAAAAGCTGGGTCAGACCCCCAAATAGCAAGCAGCAAGGTCTCTCTGCCCTTAATGCTGCGTGTCTGGTGACGCCATCACCCTGGTTTAGCGTTAATGATATCACCAGTGTGACTGAAATAAGGAAAGTAAACAATGGAGAGCAACATGGAACGAAGTGTGTTTCGTTCTTTTGTCCCTCTGAATTTCTCTCCTTTACTGCGGTATGTTTATTGGATGTGAGCATGTTCCCACTATCACGATCAGAGCAGAGCCATTTGAAGGCGAGTTTATCCTGGGTCGCTTGCTGAGTCGTTAGAGATCGGTTTAAGCTGGTCATTGAGCTGTTCCCACTGCCACTAAAAGTTGATTATTCCCAGGTTTTTTAGCCAATGACAAAGGGGTATACTTGTAAAGAGAAACCAATGCCAGTGGGTGTGTGCTATGGCTCCCAAACAGGCCAGGAAGGTAGAATCAAGGAAGAAGTAGGATGCAAAAACGTAACACAGAAGAGAACAAAAAGGGGCGTTTATGTGAACCAACGATGCAGGAGCAACATGTAAAATCCAAATTAAAATCATTAGTTTCTAAAAGAGATTGTAAAACAGAGAAACATTAAAGTCCTCTGATGATGTTTGTGTCAGTGCATGCGTGTTAAGGGTCAGGAGGGCTGTGTTGGTTCGTATGCCAAAACACGTCAGTTTATAAACACCGTAGGGTACAAAATGTACACTCCGGGAGCTGGTTTCAAATGTACTCATGTTTTGGCTGCTTCATCGTGATTAAAACAGTGGCTTGCTCAGATAAACACTGCAAGAACCCCTGGTGGGGTGTGTATAAACCATTTTCTCCAATTAATTTTAGTTCCTAGAAGACATTTGGTTTTTCATCCATCCATCTATCTCCGCTTATCCGCCAGGGTCACGGTGGAGCTGTTGCCTGTCTCCAATAGTCTATGGTGGGATAGACACCCAGCATTAGAAAAAAAGCAAGTCTTTGATTACCGAATTGGAAATTACAAAGTCTGAAGAATAAACTTCCCACCTGCCTTTGTTTTAAAATAAATAATCAGATAACCAACAATTTTGCATGAATGAAAGGTAGACATTTTTCAAAACATGCCATGGCCAAAATTTCTAAAAGGCTTTTTGTGAAAAATGCTTTCTCATGTCAAGCAATAAGGAATTGAACCTGGAGAGACTCACACAGAGAAAAGTTGCAATTAGAAAAGTATTATTCAATTTATTGTTATAGGTAACACAATCCTACTCTTCAAAATATTTATTCTAACCAAAACCAGCTGATGGTGAGGACTCATTGCCTCTGCAATCCCTTGCACTGAGCATGCATGTACAGCAGCGACAGTGGAGAGGAAATCTCAATTTTAGCAGGAAGAAACCTCCAGCAGAACCAGGCTCAGTGTGAGCAGCCATCTGTCACGGCTGACTGGGGTTTGAGGAGATGGAAGCAGATAAAGATATAAATGAAATAGATTATTTGGTACTTAGAAGACTTTGATGATGTGAATCAACATTTGCTTAGAAGGAAAACGAAGCTAGGCCATGAGCTAAATGTAAGGGGTATTGAAAGATGATTGGCTTCGGAGAAGGTGTGGCCCCTAGTTGATTGGCTGGAGGTGAACAAGGAACATTGCAGGTGGTTCAGGTGATGATAGTCTTTCAGGCTGTATTTTCACGTAATCTCTTATGTAAAGGAGTGTCTAAAGAACCACTGATAACCTAAAACAAAGTAGACTATGGTATTTATTACTCAGCAGCAAATAAAAAACAACCATTTCTCCCTTCTGTCATATGCTTAAAAAAGTGCTCCCAGCATTAACAAATCAACCTTTAAACATATAAAAAGGGAAATAAAGAGATGTTTGAGTCATTTTAACTGCTAATGGCATCTAAAAAATCTTGATTTTTAAAACAAATTCTCTATTGTAAAGTCACTCAATAATTCTTTGATTGTTCTAACAGAAACCCAGACTCGGTTGAAAAGCATCAGCGACCAGAGGGACGGCTGGTAGAGTTTAATGGCCACCAGGAGGAGAACGACAAAGCTTTCTCCCGCCCACTGTTGGAAGGCTCACGTTCATATTTTAATTTCTACATCAGTGAGGAAGACCAAGCCCAGGAGAAACAGAAACCAGAAGACAAAAAGAGATCTACAAAAGTTATAGCTGGAAGACATTTGTGCTCCTCTGAGATAGATGAGATGGATGAGGACAATGAAGAAAGTGGAGGACACCAACCTCTGAATGGTTTAACTGAGAATAGTATGACAGACAGAGAGTGTGCTTTCATGTCTCACTTTAACATCCCAAACTTTGTGAACTTGGATCAAAGCTCCACACTTGGAGAGGACGATCTGCTCTATGAGCCGTCCGTTGTCCTGGAGCGTCAGTCACAAGCTTACAATGCTCATCGGGACACCCACTAAGACAGATAGATGCAGCGGTCTTCTAAAACAATTTGGTTTGCATCCGACGGTTAGATGGAACAGAGGGAAACGTGCACCTGCTACTCCTCTCTTTCTGCAAAAGGTTTAAAATGACTTTTTAATGTTTTCTTAAAAATACAGGCATTGGATTTAGATTTACAAGAAAGAGAGTGGAAAGCATAGTCTGCAAAAGTAAACTCAGAGTAACAAGATGAGTTTTCCTTCAGAAGAGAAGATTGTTTCGTAAATAATACCTGTTATTTCAAGTACTGTGAGTCTGAATTGGATCCAGCTGGGCTGCTTTTGGATTCGCACAGAAAAAGAGAATAATGAAAGACAAGAGGGGGTCACTAGGAAAGAATGCACTGGGGAAATTATTCTGCTATTCTTGCTGTTTTTGGTACACTCTAAGATTGTGAACAAAGGTTCCTATCTGTGGGTGAGAAACAGAGACAAGGTGGTTGACCAGCATAGAGAAACAATAAAATAAATGGATATTGTTGTTAAGTCAAACCATAACAAAAGTGAAATGTATACCAACTGTATGTTTTAAATAAAGGAATATAAATAAAAATGCTGTTCTTTGATAATGTAAAGATATATAGATAGATAGATAGATAGATAGATAGATAGATAGATAGATAGATAGATAGATAGATAGATAGATAGATAGATAGATAGATAGATAGATAGATAGATAGATAGATAGATAGATAGATAGATAGATAGATAGATAGATAGATAGATAGATAGATAGATAGATAGATAGATAGATTATATCAATTTACACAGTAACTATTAATAACCATTGAATAAAGAAAGAATTTTAAGTGACCTTTAGGATTTGTTTATTTACCAAACACTACATAGTTTCTGGTGACAGATTCAACAAGATGATTCAACAAGAACAGTTTTGACATTGAAGCATGGGTAAGACTTTATACTTTACTTAGACATAAGGTTGTCTTTGATTTCTTTCTTAGATTTCTATCAGTGTATAAGTATTTTAGTTTATATATCTGTTTCTTTTTCTTTTCCTGTCTTCCAAATAACCTGATAAATCAAATTGACCACAATAAGATTGACGAAATTAACTGAGGGGTGTTAAACATAGAAACAGAAATGATAAATGTGTCCTAGTTGTGATGCAGAGACCATTGAGGCCCTTCTACTGCATGCAGATGCTTTGATATTAGCCATTCCTTTCCAGCTCTAACTGCATGTTTGGGGTTTTAGTTCTGCTCAAAGGTGTGGATCGACTCCTGGGTGAAGTCTTATGCAGCTGCTAAAAGATTTTCTGTCCTTAACCACTTTTAACATCAAATCTTAACTTTTTCCCATTCACTTTTGTAAAAAAAAAAAAAAAAAAAAAAAAACCTTCCAAAGCTAGATTCTATCGCAACTATGCTTAATTTGAATGTTTTTTTTTATTGCTATTAATAATTTTAAACTTGTGGAGTGCAAGACTTATTGCTAATCAGTTCCTCCCACCTTAAGTGGAGTTATGTGTTTATTTCTCTGCCATTGCTTTCCTGGGATGCATTTGTAATATTTCATAAAATATTGTTTTGTTACAATTCCAAACCTTGATAACTTTTCTTCACCCTGATCCAATTTTTATTGTCTGCAAAGAGCTATTTAGAGATTGCTTCCTAAATTCAGGACCTTTGCTGCTTGTCTGCCCCCTTTTCCTCTGTAGATAATAGAAAATGGTATCATCAAATTTTACAGATCTTCCCAGCTGTTTTTCTTTATTTGCATGATGCATTTTTTTTTTACTAACCTTTAACAACAACAATCTAAAGCCGTCACAGAAAAGCTCTAGGTATTACTGAAATTTAATGAGAAAATATTCTACAAAATATTTACCTATTATCTGTCCTCTGAAGATTGTTGATTGGACTGGATTTTTAGAAGTGCAGTACAATATTTCAATGCTGGGCTTTTCAGATTTCCATTATTGGATGTTTTAAAAACTTTACTTACTTTTTTTTTTCTTGAAGGGTTGATACACAACCCACAGTACTCAAAACAACTTAAATACATTTTTTTCGGAATTTCAAAATGGTTGAAGGACTATGCTTCGTTAAGGTACAGCCAAATTTATTTATTTTTCTATTTTTCATGTAATGGAAGCCCAAAAAATTGTTTTTAAGTTTTATATATTTTAAGCTTCCATTTATCTAGGCCTTAACCAATAACAGTATCCAATCAATCTCATTTGATTAAGTGGTTCTGTCTAATTTTTTTCTCTATATTCTATTCACTCTATCAAAGAGTCTGTATCAGTGGTCTCAAACTCCTTCTAGATCTCTGACTGTATGTCAGAAAGGTATTTAGCCATTTCATTAAGGTGTATAGGGAAAGAGATACACCTAAAACTGAAAAAACTGCTCTGAAGAGTGTCGGACAACTGGTTTAGATCTTTATCTCAACAGCTGCACCTCCTGTATTGTGAATAAACTACACAATAGTTGATTGTGTAGTTTAAGGTTCAAGGTTCAAGAGTCTTTATTATCCCAGAGGGGCAATTTGTCAAACAGCAGCATAAAAACATTGCACAACACACAGATAGAGAACAGTAAGTGAAATACTACAGTGACCGATTTAGAATTGTAACAGCGACAGAAATAAAACAGTTCTTGTGTCTCCTTGTCATGCATTTAGGGACAAAAGGGGGTCGTTTGATGGGCGTGGGTTGAACTCCTCCCACAGAGAGTGGCATGGGTCAGAGGAAATCTTGTATGCCTTTTTTAACATCTGGGCCTTGTAGATGTCCTGTAGATCAATCAGGGATGTTCCTACGATTTTTGCACATGTATTAGCAATGTGTTTTATATTTTTTGAAGATGGATTCCACCAATTATTATTATTATTACAATTTATGATTATTGTTATTAATTGCTAAACTTTCAATACAAATACATGTGCTGGTGAGTTTTTGTGCAGAGAGCATCCACTTGATTCTCCAATCTCAGTTTATCATTAATGATACTCTAGTACCCATGTATTGGTTTTAGGGTACAAATACCTTTTCCATGCTATAAGATCTGCATGTTGGTCAGGAAACATAGAAACGACAGCATCATTAATGAATAAACTCTCATTTCAATATAAATATACTATGATTACTCAAAAGAAAACATGAACTATAGATACTTAAAAACACTGTTGAAAAGGTTGGCGAATCATCACCCTGGTTTCATTATCTTTTAACGAACTAACCTTATCAAAGTCTATGTGTAAAGGTCAATCTCTTGCTCTCTAAACCATCTCTTTACTACATTTTTATCACTTTTAGTCAGTTCTTACTCAAAACAGGGGTTTTGTCAGATCTGCATGAGATAGAAAAAATAGACTCTGCTATTTTCTCAAAAAATAATTTTTTCATTGAAAGAGACTTTGCTTCAAAATAAGAATATCACTGTCTGGAGCCAAAGTATTTGTTGAAGGTCTCAGACGTGCTGAACAATTCTTAGCAGACCAAAACATCATTATTTAAAGAGACATGCTTTTGACAGGCATTTCAGTTTTAAAACCTTTTATCCTTGCAGAAAATGCATTTGAACAGTGTTGAGAGTGCAGTCTTCAGAGTAATCATTAGTATGTTCAATTGTGTTGAATCAAATGTCACCTGAACATATTTTTCAACAGTCTTGGGATGAACATCTTGTTTACACTTTTGCATGCCTTTCTCTGCCTGCATTTAGAGACTAAAGATAGAGGTAATGATCACAACAAACGTTTTAAGACATGAGTATTTACCTATAAAATCTTCACAGATGTTTTGCATAACCAACCACTAAGATAAAATAGGAGTTTGCCAAAGATCTATAAAAACTATGATAAAAAAATTATAATATAATAATAATATAATATACTAATGGTAACTATTGTAACACCATTGTTCTGGACTGAAAAGCATCAATTAGAGAAAATAAACAGGGGCTTAAATTTCACAACAGGGAACATATAAATATTAGACAGATATTTCTGCCAGCCTTTTTTCCTTCAAGTTTAAAGAAAGAGACTGTAAAAGCCTCAATAATTAGAACTAATGAATCAAGTAGAGAACATTAAAATAGAAAGATTTACAAGAAAGAACAACTTAGAGTTGTTCTTTATTCATGTAGAATATCTCCCATGAGTCAAAACAAATTAAAACTGTTTTGTTCCACATCAGGTGATGATAATGCAAAACGACATTGCTGCTTTCCATTAAGACTGATCAGGAAATATGTAACCCTCATACACAATACTTCTTAGATGGAAGGGTGTGCAGAGAATGCCAGACAGCCCATCAAAGACAGCTCTGCAAACAAAAACAAAAAATCATGCTTTCAGCCTTTTGACAAACAGCACATTGAATTCGATATCAAAAGTGACTGACGAGGCTGAAACCTAAAAAACATCATGTTTGCCGAAAGGTATTCAGTAAGAGAAAGACTGAGCAGATATGCATTATTGCTCAGCGTAAATGCAGTTTCTGTGTTCACTCTTTCATACTTACATCAGCAACATCTTATTGTTTACCTATTTTTTGCAGCTTCATCACATTCTAGTAGCACTTAATCATTCACCCGCCTATTTTCTGCCTACCTGCTTTCAAAAGGGAGACTGAATAACATCAGTTAGAAAATGCATATGATGTTAAAGCTACAGCATATACTTTCCACTTAGAAACAACTACTGTACCACAAACTATACTGTGGTATGCCTATGTCTCTGTACATGGCTGCTCTTTATCTTCACAATGCAACCTTAAAAAACATTGGATACTAAGAAGCTTTGTTTATTGCCATGCACCTTTGACAAAACCAGAGATGTGCAAAAAGGTACAGACAGCTTCAAGTGACGGGCAGCAGATCAAACTCAATAGACTTACGCTGAAAGTGAGCATGTCAGTATATGAAGTCATACAATGCTGAAATGAGTCCTTCTTGACTTTGCCACCCTTGTGTGTGATATGAAAGGACACTTTGATTGTTTCAGAAATTAATAACCATTTCCACTACAAGAAATATACTTTATTTTGAAGCTGCACGCCCATCGACTGCACTGGTTGCTGTGGTGATGCAAGGCTAAATGGCCGGAGCAGTAACAGAAAAGAGCAGCAGTGAATCACATGTTTTATTTACCGGCGGACTGAGGGGGCGTTCAGTCAAACAGTGTCCACTGTGTAAACTCAGAGATGAGAAGGTTGAAGGTCTTTTGTGTCGAATCATAGGGAAGACTGTGCTCAACTGTCTACTTTGTTTGATATGCAAGTCATTATTCTGTTCTAACACGTGGGCTTTAATAATCCTTCCCTCAGATGACTGTCTAAAACAATTCCTTTGGCTTTATTTAACAGTACTTTGCAAATGCATTAACACCCTTGGACTTCAACACATTTTGTCAAATCATAACCATAGACCTAAAATAATTAATAACATTTTTACTATAGATTAACACAGAATATTCCATAATTTTAAAGTAAACAGATAATGATATACTGTGTTTGCCATGCAATTTTTAGTAAACCCCTTTGAAATGATATTTAGTAAAGCCACATCATGCTGCAATTATTCCTAC